GGGCCTGCACGTGGCAGTGGATAGATAACGGCTGATGATTCGAAGCGCGGTTGGCCACGTACGGTGCGAAGGAAGTTCGACATAGGTGCGTGCATGATATGTAAACAGTACTTGGCGCGGTATGAATTGCGGGAGCTTGTTTTGCCAGCCTCACAAAGTGATGGAAAGCATCTAAACGCAGCTTGACACGCTTTGGGATTCAGCTGGAGGCCTTGATCCCATCATCTGGAAGCTTTCCCGCAATCACTCCTGTTCCCACAGCCTCAGATTCATCAAGCTCCCGACCGCTCCCCGGAGCCACTTCCATCACGTGCTGTATACATACGCACGCACCGCAATTACGTACAAATAATGACTGGGACATAGAGCTACGTTTTCTGGTGTGCAGTGTGAAATCACGAGTTGGAATTACCACCCTCCCCACCCGTCCCACCGCTCGACCCGCAAGGGGTCAACGCAGCACGATGCATCGCCCATCGTCGATACGGGGCTGGTAAATTCGGCACCACCTCGTAATGTCACGCGACTCGGTTCAAAGGTCAGCAGCAGTTGTTTCTAACAAGCGGCCGCACCTCGCCATAGTAACGTGGGATTTCCAGCATTGGTTCAAAGGCCAGCGCTGAAGACGACCGACCCACACGTGCTTTCACGTTGGTGTCACATGCCAAAAAAGACAAAAAGAAATACACATATTGCAAGGGTGAAATCAAACAAGCCGATTTCAAATGTACCTTGGTTGATCGGAGGCGGGAGGGGGGAGGGGCGTGGATTTGACGATCTGGCCACGGTAGCCTTCGCTCGGCTACCGTGGCAATGAAGCCAGTCCCTACGCAGTGTCTGTGAGTTATCGAATTGAATGAGGACTGCAGCGGATCATAGCCTCCACGCGACGTGTAAAGACTTCAGCGCCGAGTAATTAACTCAACGTGGGGAGTTAAAATAACGGTCAGCTGTCGGCATTCAGGGGCCGCACGCATCGCAGACTTTTACTGGCGACGCAGAGGAAGTTGAGTGCCATAGTCCCTACGCAGTCTTGGAGACATTGAATCATCCGTGCATTCATTCTGCAACGCTGACCGAGAGCCCATCGAGACCACACATGCATCTCATTCACAAGGGAGGCCCGAGGGAGAGAGAGAGAGAGAAAGAAAAACATTATTTGTGGGATGAAAGGTGCCAAATAACCGTTCAACCCCCTACCTCCCCCAATTAATTCCACATGCAAGGACTGTTTTGTCTGTGACAGACGTTTCTAATTGACACCGCTGGAGGCTGGGTACAGCAAAACACCCTGTTTCCAACATGATTCAGTCGTGCTACCTATCCCGGTACTATATATATACACTATATATAAACGGAGGCGGAGCATGTAATGAATAAAACACGGGAGCAGACAGAACCCATTTTCCCCAAACCAGCCTCGCGTCTCACCGCTGAGACAACCACTGTGGTATTCATTTCTTATGGGGCCCTAACGGTCCAGACTGCTTATGTCAAGTCGGGTTACCGTGCTGAGGAAGCTGCCGACAAAAAACTCCAAACACCGGGGGACTCCCATCCACAGTCGTTTCAGATTGGAAGTAATCGCAGTAGAATATTTTATTTTTGCCCGACGTAGTGGCAGGCGATCGCACCTGTGGTCTAAGATCTTAAGAGGTGGGGTTGGAGTATCGTGCAGAGATGAAGGCTTCCCAAGTGTGAGACTCACACCCGTAAGGTAACAAGGCGCCCGCTGGAGGCAGTACAGAAAGTAGGCCGTGGACTTGTCTGTGTAGTATAACTGTTACTGTATTTGCTTATGTTTTGTTTCGCCCATTACTTCAGTATTCCGATGTGAAACAAACTTACTCAACAAGAAATTGGCCGGATGTTTTACAGCATAGGCCACATTTCCCTTGTAAAAAAACATATACCGTTCGTCATTTTGCAAGCACCTGTTTGATTAGTCAACTTTAAAGTTCACTTTCGATGGCCTCAATTACTGGTAACTGATCATTAGAACTTTATATATTTTTTAATTATGAATATTTACACCTGCTTTTAAGGGTTTTCTCGCGTCGACGGTAAATCAATGATAAACAAAGGTGTTCAAGAATGCCGAGAAGTGAGCCCTGTTAAGAAATAAACAGACGCTGACTGGGTGTTATAGCGGCTTGTGAGGTCAGAGAGCGCGGCTCTCTACATTGGCGAGGGGCTGTCGCAGGGGCAGCTGACGCAGGGCGCACAATCTGATTGGACCAGTGGAGGGACCGTTCCAATCTGATTGTGTCGTCACTGTCATTTGAAAGGGCCCGGGGTGGGGGCAATTGAAACGAGGGGTCGGTCGAGAAACCGTTAGGAAGAAACAAGGTGGAGAGTCAGGGAAAGTTCCAGAAAGGACAGAGAATAAGATGAAAGGAGCGGATGGAAGGGGTTTAGGGGATCCTGAACGGAGTAATTCCCTGACGTGATGTTACGCTGCGCTGGAGACGTAACAAAGTGCACGTTCAAAACTTACCTGGGTTGGAACTCCTTTGCAGCACACACACGACAGCCTAATCGGATTTGCAGGCGCGCGAAACCTGAACGAATGACCACGTCCGTGGTGCAGAATCTTCCAAGACTGCGTCCAATATCCTAATGCGCAATCCCACTCCGAGGGGCGAGAGAACAATGCCTCCTGTCACACCGTACCATTGTCAATCCCTCCCGCAGATTATACCAGGACGGCACAAAGAACGACGCGGAGATTTGGCAGGCGGCGTGCGTCGGATTTAAATGTCCATGCGTTTCGTCCATCCATTGCTGGATGAAGGCCTCTCCATGCTACGGCTGTCATGTCATGGGGTTTGCCTGTTTGTTTGTTTGTTTGTTTTCGGCCATACTTCACCGCGCTGGTCAGTGCAGGTCGGTTGAAGGGAGGAGGACCCAGGACCGGTTTTGTTTTATCATCCGCCAGCGATGTTAGCCGTGGCTGGGAATCGAACCTGCGGACGCGGAGGTCAACCACTCCGTGCGCTCGCCGCTCTGCCACGACTCCCGCAGCCCTCGCCGCCCGTCGGATTCAAAGACATCACACTGAGGAGCAGCGCAGCGTAGCGACGAACTAAAATAATAATAATAAATAATAATCCCTCGCAATCTGCTCCACAAAGAGTGGGCTACCCGGATTTGAGTGGACGGGCCACAACTTGAATGCGACTTCGAACAAGTTGATTCGCGTACAAGCGGCACAAAGTCACTGACTGGAAGCATCCAGGAAAGAGGAGCACACACTCACGACATCGGGCTAATCGTGCAGTAAGCGCATGAACAACAAGGAGAACACTACTCTGACATTCCACCCACACGTGTGCGGTTATTTGACCAATAACCTACTCGAAAAAGCGGGAACCGTTGAGCTGCATCCGTGTGCCGAATGTCATCCTCATAAACGACGGTGGATGACCATGACATATGCTATCCGTCTTTCACAATCTTCAGCATCCAACGCAAGTCTTCCAAAGGCCCAAGAAAGAAGCAAGAATTACTGCAAAAAGTCCGACATCATGGGAGCAACTAATTAGCCAATCCAATATCAGGACAACAAAACACATATCAATGGCTCGCATTCACAAAATTGCCAATTAAATTAGCCCTCAGAACCTTGCATAATTTTCAATTAAACAAACTCACTGCAATGAAGAAGAACAAAAAACATTTACAGTAAAATCTTCGGGTTGAGGAGGAAGAGGCAAGGTTGACCCAACAATCATGGAAAGCATGCGGACGTGCGGATTAAACAAACGAGCTGGCAGTGGAGCTGCTGATGGACACCCTCCATCTTCCCGAGCAAACACAGCCTAAGGAGACGAAATGCTATGGTGAGCCGAGATTGGTTGCTTGAATGGCAGGATGGCCCCTTGTAAGCTGGGCCCAGTATTCCAGGTCTTGCGCTCCTGAATCGATGAGTCGGCAGCCTGACCGGTGATGAGAGAGGCACCGCAAACATTTGGTGACCATGGCGGAGAGGGCCGTCCTGGGCTAACCAGACCCGACTGCCCCTCGCCGTGCCCATCAGCTGCACATCAGCTGAGCAAGCCACAGGGGAAGGTGCGTTGAGTTATTGGCAAACTGCACGGTAGAGGTCCTCCGTCCAGTGGGTCACAGCTCTCGAGCTGGGGACTCATTTCTCTCCACAAAAGGCCAGAGGTGAGCGCAAGCAGATATGGGAAGGCTGAATGAATAGTTCCCCAGGTTCCTCCAGTGGGTCCCAGTGTTCCATGCGAGCCGTAAATTCGTCTCCGTTTTTAGAAGGCGCAACGTCCGTCTTATTGACGCGTGTGTCGGTACTCCTTCGTGAAAATAAAAAAAAATCCGTGGAAGGCCTCCACAATTTGAGAGTGCCGCGGGCAATACTCGGGTAGTGCCAAGCTGCCCAGAGGCTGACATCACCACGGGGCCAGCTGGGTGAAGACAAGCAAAGATTCCTCGAGAGAAATTGAGATCCATCGATACGGACAAACACTGAGAATTAAGCACACACAGAGATTCGAGTAGGTGCGGTTAGGAGAAGCAGCACGGTTGGCTACGTACGGTGCGAAAGAAATCCAACATACATAGAGAACAGGTGATGGTCACAGGGAGTCGTCATTTGTATTATTGTAACAAGCACGGGCACACTGAGCTCCGTTATTGATTTAAAGGCAGAGGCTGGAGGCTGGTTTTGTGACTCTTCAACCCCTTGACTTGTTTCATTTAACACAGATACAATGGCCAGCCGGAGCGAATAACATCACCGAGCATTAATTTCCTTCTCAATATTGACTCCACCGCAGATGGTGCACGTTGGTATCATCTCCGCCCCCCCCCCCCCCCCCAAAATAAACCATCACCTCCGCCTCGTCTGGGATCCGTTCCAAACTCTTCCCACAGTCGTTTCTACTCCTGCCAGCGTGGTCCCCCCAGGCGTAATCCATCAGGGGTCGCGGAGGATTAACGCGGTTACTTTGGTTCTCACTTTCCTCTCTCCTTAAACGCAGATCCTGGTGAATCACGGGGCGAGCTTCGACGCCGAGCGAAGCATGTTCGTCGCTCCGCGGAAAGGGATCTACAGCTTCAATTTCCACGTCGTCAAAGTGTACAACAGGCAGACGATACAGGTGGGCGAGCCGGTCGGTGATGGTGGTGGTGGTGGTGGCAGGGCGAACAAGGGGGGTTTGCGCTCGCCCACATTCTAGCCAACCCAGCGTTGAGCGCTCAGGTGCGGGCATCGACACAATAACTATCGTACGATGTTTTTTTTTTTAACATTTTATTTTACCGGGTAAGGCCCACTAAGTGCTATATAGATATATTTTTAAAGCAACCACCTGGCTATCACAAATGATAGACGAAGTGGCTTATTACGTGGATAATGTACAGTGGCCAAATAATCTGAATGCGTGTTTCTAAATGTGGAGGGGGGGGGGGGGGGTGAAGAAAACGGAGGTCCCCGGATCAAAAATCCATGCGCCCACGTGCAGAGAGACACACAAACTCCCAATATACAGCAGGCGCCAGGGTCGGGGTGAAACCCGCAACCTCCTGCATCCCAGGCGAGGGAGTTAACATCCCAACACCGTGGCGCCCCCTGATATGAGGGCGCTATTGGCATGGCAGTAGTTGGGCCACTAACGTGCGCTGATGAAATCGGTGGATAGTTTGCCGATAAGCTTGCGTGGATTTCTATTCTCACCTTTGGTGATTCGACGCACCGTCACGATTCGAGGTCACGGTTCGATCTGAGAATATTTTTTTCTCCCTTTTTGCCATTGAGGTCCTCGTGAGCAGCAGCAGCAGCAGCAGGATAGAATGAAGCCGGTTACGTACGGCGTCAACAAGTTGAGAGAATTGCTTGACTCGTTGTCGCACAACGCATTTACTCCGAGGAAAACAAACAATTTTAATTGATGGATCAGGCAGATAGGTAGGTAATCATAATTGCCAATAATGGGGGGGAGGGGGGGTGGTGATGGTTGACCATACTTCACCACGCCGATCTTGCGAGGAGTAGCGAAGAGGGGCGAGGGCCATGAGTGTTCTTTATCACACACCAGTCGACACCGACGTCAGCCACGGATGGAAATCGAACTCAGGTCGCCAGGTCCATGGCTCTGCGAGTGCGCCACCCCCCACCCCCACCCCCCCCAGGCAGGTGAGTCTTCTTTATCGAGAGCCAGCTAGGCGCACACTCAGGCAGCAACATTGCGTTGGCAATGGGATACTTGCAGGTAAATAGGAGAACAAGAGAGAGTGTTGGCCAAGCGATGAGCATGAAATAATACAGGAGGTGCGATGATAAGTAATGCCGAGTTAAAATTCTATAAATGATTAGCATGATAACCTTAAATAGTACAGTGTCGTGGCGATACACCCCTCACCCCCCCGCCCCAGAGATTACATCAACACAATTCAATGTGACGATTCGATTCAAGAGCCAATTTTAGTTTCATCTCACCTTTAGTATTGTTTATATTGTTACGACTATTCTTTTGTTGTTGTTGTTGTTGCCGAGTTTGACGCAATGTCCTTCGTGCAACATGAGCATACACTATTTGCACTTAAGTTGAATTAAGTTATTAACTCAATTGCACAATTTGATTCACGTGTCATGTGCCTAAGAATTAATGTTCGTCAATCGATGCATCGTGTAATGCCCATTAAACCACAATCGTACAGTTCCAAGACCAAATAAAAATTAACCGTACACCACGATAACCGTCATACAATTATAATTATTCCATTCAAATTAAAGCATACTTCACAATCTGCCAAATTTCCCTGCATTCGTAGTCTAGCCGGGCAGTGGTGGCTACGCACGTGGCCTGTGACACAGCACTGTGGAGGGAGCAAGGGTTGTTAAATCAACGCACACAAATGTTGTTAAACTGCCATCCCTCGGCCCTCCAAGTGGCATTGCCGCTGGTTCTAGCAGGAGAAGGCAGTGCCACAAAAACACGTGGACTCTGCCTGTCCCGCTTGTGTGGGACGGAGTGTCTGCCCTACCAGCCACTACCCTCGCACACGTGGGGTTTTCTCTGGGTGCTACCGGTTTCCTCCCACAGGTGGACATTCGCTGATTTGGTCGATATCTTCATGTGCAGAGGATCGCAGAGCTTGGGAAGTTGTTGGTGCCGAGTGGCTGCCTCTCCGCTTGTCTCTCGTTCCTCGCACTTCTGAGCCATTTCCGTGCCTTCGCGAGCGGGCGACTGCCGTGCAACATTGCACGTTGAAACCATTGTTATGAAAAGAAACACACTCAAGATCGCTAAAGCATCCGGATTAAATAAATTACATCAACTCGCAACGTAACATGAATTTCGCAATGTAATATCATTGAGAGGTCTCTTGAGTCTTACACTTAACGATGACAATATTAGTCTAAGCCTCTGAAATATCAGGTATGGCCAAATATCCTCATTACGACTCAATCCAAGCGGGCAAATTGGATATACTCGCTCCGTGTCAACACACACTGGATTGACAAACTTCAAGTGTTTGTAATCCCCTGGAAATCACGTAAAGTGCATTCCGTCCCGGCAACTCGAGCTGAGCAGCACCGCTCTGCCGCACCCCCGATTAGCACGGTTGGCTTTACGTGCGGTGCGAAAGAAGTTCGACATACACGCTTTGGAGAGGCCTCGTCTCGGACAATGAGAGAATGAGGCAGGGGCAGGGGTGTGTGTGGGGGAGGGGGGGGGGGGTTAGCGCCACGCTTTGCTACGAACCTGGCGACCAGAGTTCGATTCTCTGCTCACGGCCAACACCGGTGACAATTTATCTGAACCGGTCATGGGCTTCCCCGATGTCGACTCAACCTCAAATGAGTGTGTAAACATCGCCACTGGGGAGACAAAGGCGGCCGGGCGTCTTGCTGGCCACCCACGTCCTCGTGTGCCGTGCCGGCCTTCATAGGTGCTGGCTAACAGCACTTGCCCAAAACAGTCTGTTCAGGCTATACGGGGGATCTTTGTCTTTGTCACTCCTGGCCCTGCGGCACGCAAGTTCTGTCTGTTCAGGGGACTTCACTTTTTATTTTTACATTTTTTGAAACTAATACGGACTTCGGGGTCGAGCCGGGCCGCTGGCTGGCAGAGCGCCCGCGTTCGCCTGCGGTAAATTTGATTTGCGTGTCGCGATGGACGGATTTGTCACACGCGACGCCAAACGCGGCTGTCGGTTGCCAGCGGACGCGCGCGCAGTGCATCGCGCAGTGCATCGCCCAGTGCATCGCCCAGTGCATCGCGCAGTGCATCGCGCAGTGCATCGCCCAGTGCATCGCCCAGTGCATCGCCCAGTGCATCGCCCAGTGCATCGCGCAGTGCATCGCCCAGTGCATCGCCCAGTGCATCGCGCAGTGCATCGCCCAGTGCATCGCGCAGTGCATTGCGTCTGGCGTTTGCTTCAGAGAGACGTTGTTAGAATTTTTTTTTTGGGGGGGGGGGGGGGGGGGGCGGGGTGATGAATTGTGGCAATGAGAATTGGTCCCTCGTCACATGCTGTAAATTTGTTATAATTACATTTTTCATTTTCACGAGGCGCGCACGTAGAGACTCTGAGCGGCGGCAGGATTTAAGGAAGCCAATTTATAATACAGAATATGCAAATTGAGAAGACTTGACCGACGCAAAAGGGGTCGAGTCAAAAGTTATTTCCTGTTAAATGAGCATTGCAGCAGTGGTCATCTCACTGCCTGACCCAAGCCAGCAGAGGAAAGTCCACGTTCCTATGGTGGGGGTGAGTCTGTCTGTGGGGGCGGAGCCGACGACACAAACTATTCTGCAATATCCCGAAGCCTCATCCTCAAGTGGGATATATACACAACAAACAAAGACAAAGCTCCCCCATACAGCCTTAGCAGACTGTTGGGACAAGTGCTGTTAGCGAACACCTATGAAGGCCGGCACGGTACACGAGGGGGTGGGTGGCAAACACCACACCCGCCCGACCGCCTTTGTCTCCCCATTGGCGATGTTTACACACCGCACCAGGTGCTCATTTGAGGCTGAGGATATGTACACTCACACTCTCCCACATCGCCCTGCCCCAAAGAAATGTGCATCGCTTGGCAGCGCAAGCGATATTTATTTTTTATTCTCAGGGATGTGAAATTTTACCAAATCAAGTGAAAAACCACACTTAACATTATTGTGTTTTTTTGTGCAATCACGGGTAACGAGGTGGGTGCCATCAGCTCACTCCACTGGAGAAGCTGAGTTTTCGACACGACAGCTGAAACCCTGATGTTAGGTCAGTACTCTCTGGACTACTTTGAGTGCAGTTACAAGATGGACTTTTGGCCAGCGGCTTTTGATGAGTCGATCTGAGTGTGGGAGGACGCCAGACAACCCAGAGAAAACTCACGCGTGTGGTGGAATGACCACTCAAACTCGAGGCAGTTACCCGATCAAAAGCCCTTTCGGATGTACGACTTATTTTTGTGTCGAGTCTGTTTGCCCGTCCCCGTACCTTTGATTAGGGTGGTTGGCTATGTACGGTGCCAAAGAAGTTCAACATGCGTCGAGTACTCCGAGGCAAGATATTTCTCTGAATATATTTCCCTGAATGTCTTGCCTCGTTTGCGCGACGACTCCATCACTGCATGATCCACGAACCGCATCTACAAATATCCAGATTACAGGCGTGCATTGGCACAATGCTCAGCAATAATCGAACAAAGTTAAATATACACTGCATTTTAGAAGATGCGAGATGCGCGTACGCATCCATGACGAATTCACCACGAATACGCTCGATCTCGTCGGAAGACTTGTGTGCCGTGAGGTTCGCCAAAAAGAGCAATGGTACAACAACGGATCCTCGAATCTATTCGCGCAGAGATTTGAGTGCCACCCCATTCGTGCGTTCGAATTTCCCTCCGCACATTCCAATGTCCTCCCACGCGAAGCCCAGCCGCTCCTCGTTGTAATTGGCCAAACGTTCTAAATCGCGGGGGCCCTCCTGATGTAAGGAAGGCGTCGCTAGACTAGGTGGGGGGCTCTCTCTCTCTTGCGCCACAGCGCGTGGATTTAAAGCGTTTATTTGTGTTGCTGGTGACTGTGTATTTCACATCGGAATCGCCTCCAGTGATGTTGCTGCTGGCGGCATTAAAAGTCGTTTT